GATCCCGGGTGCATATCTTTCTCCCCGGGTTGGTACCAGCAAGGTCACCAGGTATGCAGCATTGAGCACCAGCAGTGCCGGACTAATGATGTCTCTCCCAGGGCACTACATATCCGCCACAGGTGTCCTCGACGTTATCAGACGAACATTCTCCCGGTCGGGATTGGTTGCGAGCGATGGCGGAGCAGCACGCCCTCATCGGAGGCATGCTTCGGATAATCCATCCGGAGTTACACGCCATGGGCTATGCGGCCCTCGCCTCAACTCAGTCTTGCCCCGACATTGCGGAGGTCGTTCCCCTGTGGGGAAATCCATTCAACGCATTGTCGGTTATAACCAACCGCCAAACGCCACTCCATGTGGACAGGATGTCCGCAAAGGATTGGTACGATCTACTCATAACGATTGGGGGTGACGACGACACGGTATTGGAGCTCCCGACCCTCGGCCTGACCTTACAGTATGCTGGGGGGTGTGCGGCGTTGTTCTCCGGCTCCTTGATCCCGCATTCCGTATCAGGATCAAACAGGGAGAGGCTGTGCGTTGTTTACTACCTTAGACCCCAAGTGCATACATGGGCGAAGGTGAAGAAGACTACTTGGCTGACGGTCGATTTGTAGCTCGATAGACATCTTCGGTTATATTACGCCACAATATATTGTTAAATCGTGACCCTTTGCCACCGCATTGCACCATGGCAGCCAAGGAGGACATACCCACCACGAGGCATCCGATGTCGGACACCCGACGGCGGACGCCCGACCTCGGACGCCCGACTTCGGACGCCCGACTTCGGACACCCGAAGTCGGACGCCCGAGGTCGGACGCCCGAAGTCGGACGCCCGAGGTCGGACGCCCGATGGTGGTCATAAGATGTGTCGAGAGATTGGCACAGCGACAAACAAGTGCTTGAAAATTCTGGTTGTATTACCGCCCGAGGTACATGATACCATAAGCAGTGTCAGCATCTTTGTGGAGCATTTTGTACATATGTTGTCTCTGACGGCACACCTCCGCATACCCAGGATACCTTCCACTCTTCCGGTGGGCGGCATGACCCGACCACCTTGTCATCTCGTAATCGAAGTACCTCCGCACGGAATCCAACTCCCGGCGCAGGATATTGTCCTCTTCTTCCGCTCGCTCGAACTGTGACCGTGCTCGGAACCAATGCACACGGTGTACTGTGCCGAATTGTGAGTCCCCAGACATATAGTGACCGGTGACCTGCTTACATTCCGTCATCGTCTCGCTTGCACTCATATCGCCTTGAACATCAGTCGTCCATAGCCACGGTAGCCGGGTGTGTCGCTGCCCTCGTTGGTTCGGTTCTACAACTGCTGTGCTTATTTTTAGATCGTCGGGCACCAATTTCTGGTATTTCCGCATCGTCGCAGGTGGTGCTCCCAGCGCTGTCATCGCATGCCGCACCTTCCTATACATCCGGGCATGGTGTTCGACTCCTTTTTGAACCGAGTGGACATCCGCCCATGCCCGAGTCTTCCGAGTCTGAGACTTGGCATCGCGCACCTTGGCACGCATTACAAACGATTTTTGACTCAGCAATATCCGCAATTGGTGCAAGATGTCGTTTGCTTGGCCAATTCGGAGCTCCAGTTCAGCTTTCGCATACGGCTGCACTGCCGCAGTCAAGATCGTGCTCGCGGGATAGGAGGATGGAAGTGACAGTGGCCGCCACTCCGCTTCTCTTCCATCTCGCTTTCTTGCTTTCGGGGTAGGAGCTGTACGATTTCCGGTGGCATTCTGGCCGACGGCTGCTGTGCCATTGTTCTGCATGTCCTCCCAATCGGATAGGTCCCCGTTGTCATCGATAACCTCGGTATGCTGCCGGCCGTCTTCCCAGTCGTTCGTACACAGAATCTCCTCTCCCTTCCGTAGGAATCGCTCGATCCGGAGTTCGAGCCTCTTCCTCTGCTTGGCGATATTCAGACGCTGCTCCGCCGTTGTCTTTGCCCCATACGCCCTGACGACCCGCTGCAGCGCAATTCTGTCGGAGTGGTAAGCATCCAATGTCGGGGGACCGAACGATAGATACCCACTGTGAATCCTCAATCCTCATCCCCTCAACCATCCACTCGGCTGACCCGACGATTGTGTTGTTATCACCTTCGTTTTCAGTCAGAGTTATTTGTATTTCTGCTCTTGACGGTGCTACTTTACGCATTAGCAAGCATTTGTACGATGTTTGCTGGCCGACATTTACCATGCTGGCCCTGAACCTCAAATTTGTCCATCACTGATACATCGTTCACACGTTTTTTGTGGGCTTCCGCAACCGCTGACATCCATTGCGCGAGGATTTCATCGTCGATCCCGGCTTCTTGATCCTCCAGCGCCTCTCGGAAGCTCTCAAGGAGCAACCGGTTGGCGGCAATGCGTTTCTTCAGGGCTGGGACTGCACCTGTGTAAGACCCTATAACGCCAGACAGCCGATGTGATTGCCGCACCTATTGACACCATTTTCCTCCAATTCCAGTCGTTCATATGGCGGTCGAGAGTTTCTTGCCTATGCGATGTAGCCATTGTCCGAGTACTTCCAAACACCTTACCCAATGGAGACCACAGTGTTTCGACGATCTCCCCATCGACTTGTCCCGCGCCGCGCATGAACGTTGGGGCGTGCCGGAGCAGGCACTTCGACTGGTGGCCATGTACATGGAACAAGCCGATGCCGAGGTAAAGCGTGAGGCCGCGTGGCATCCGGAGACACGGACCGTCCTTGAAGCGTTTTGGGAGGTGCACTCCATATTGGCACATCACGTCGTAAAGCACAATGGCGTTCCGAATGCTGTCCGATCGGTAACTCATAGCTTCCGACAGCGTGTAATCCATGTTCTTCTGCCGCTCACCGGCCTGGAAGTTGACAACGCCATGTGGAAAAAAGCATCCATGGCGTGAGCAAGCCGTTGCCCCAATCCCGGTAGACTGTAATTTGTGCCGATGAGCATTGGCCCGAGCGATAGCTTGGTGGTCATTGCATGTCGGTTTCTTGTACTCAATCAGCTCAGCTCGCAACACAACATTCACCGCACCCACCATTTTAATGTCCGTGGATGACTTCAAATGGGGAGCCAATTCATCATCCGTCACCATGAACGCCTTCCCGGGCATAAGCGGAACATCGTTGCCCGGCTTCCGCATCTTCGTATGCTCGGCGGAGAAGTTGCCATCCATGACATAACCACGGGCGTAAATGTACCTGTCAATCCGGTCAAATCCCGCAGACTGAGGACCGACCGGCCACTCACGCATTCGGGTCACTGTCCCAGTCGTCCGGAATGTTCACTCCGGGCTGGGGGCAGGCAGCACAGAATAGTGCAAGATCGCCAGTCCCCGGTTCCCCCCGCCATTTCGGACCAAATCCGAACTGCATCATAGCCCGGAGCAGAGTCCACTGTCTGGTGGCACGCATGAATTCCGCATAGCGATCCTGCAGTGTGGTGATGAATACGGTGAACCATCCCTACGGGTGGCTGGACTTACCGGCACACGATGCGGGAAGGCCGGATTGGTCTTCCGGCGCAGTCGGCGATAATAGTTCATCGCGGATGTCTTGCATTCCAGATTGTCAAGCAGAAAGTCGTCCAGTACGTCGAAGGTAAAGCACGTTTTGACATTCAGCTGGCTTGCTGGGTAAAGCCCGGCCTGGAGGAGCTGACCACGAACTGATTCCGCCCGAGGGCAACGGCAGCATTCGACCCGGAGGAAATGGACGGCGGACGTATCGACAATTGTCATATGCATTTCCGGAGCCCGCTCACCCCCAGCTGCATCACGAAGCGGATCCCCGAGGGTTTCCTCGTCCTCCTCACCGCTCTCGGACTCACTGGAGGACTCGTCGTCCGACCAGTCACTCTCATTGTCGGGGTGCTCAACACACGGACAGGGAGAGCCTTCGTGACCAAGGTGGATCTGAAGGCCTAGGGAGCGAAGCCAGGAAGGGACCCAGAAAGTGTCCGTCCAACGTTCCAAACGGTGGAATGGCAGGCGGGCGTGTTCCCGCAGGCAGCAGGATTCGCAGAACACCGGCCGGCCGAAGCAAGAGAGACACTTCCACTCTGCTGAGCCAGCCGAGCATTTTTCGCATGTCGAGCTGCCGGTATCATCGGGTTTCGTGGGGGCGTGAGCTGCGTACATGTGCTGCAAGTACGCATCCCGGTGTGGAAGCCAAGCGGACAGCATGTCAGGTTGTGACTAGGCAGATGTTAGCTGGCTCGGCGACATGCTGACAAGCTTGCCGCGCACCTTTGGGGCCCGTGCACGGCGCTGTGGGTGTGTTGGAAGCGGCGGGAGAGGTGGAGGAGTGGAAGTCCCGGCTTGCAGATCGGGCGGGTCGACGGTTGACTGGGGTGTCCAAAGGCCCCTCGACCGACGTGCCATCGGTGCCGAGAGTTTAGAGCCCTTTGAGTGAGCCGCTGTCGGTGCCGATGGTTTGGAGGCCTTGGACTGACCCGCTGTCGGTGCCGACGGTTTAGATGACGAGCTTGGTGTGGATGGGCCATCATCCGGTAGGACAACGCGGCGTGTCGCCAGCCCTCTTGATGTCTGCTTCCGTTGTATCTCGACTTCGTCAACTTTTGGGGAGCTGCATCGTCGCTTTGACCTTGTCTTCGCCATCGTGCAGCAGGTGGACAGTGGACAAGGACGCTCGACACAGACTTTGCCAATGGCTCTGCCAGAAACGTGTTTACCATGAGGCCACCACACCCTCGGCTAGGTCTTTCGGAGTAGCTCGGAAATGGTCTCTAGGGAAGGGGCATATGCTGTGATTGGTGTCTGTGGAAAGCTGGCTGCCAGTACGCTAATGTGGGGCAGTTTTCATGGCATCGGACACCCGACATTGACCACAATTCACAGATATTGTGACATACTAAGCGAGGCGAAGCTACCGGGCGCCTACATCCATGAGGCAAATGCATGGCAGGTGCCGTGCACAGCTGGCAAGGTTTGTGCTGTCCCCTTGCCTCTCTCCACCCACCATGCCAGCAACATCTTACACTCCAGGTGAACTCCTGATCCTGCGGAGCTTCCTGCCCGAATGGAAGGCGGGCAGCTCGGATGACCGTAAGGATGTCCGGGCACGCGCAGTCGAGCAATTGGAGGCCCACCTTGGAAGGGCGTTGAAGAGGGGGGCGAAAAAGGTATGTCCAATTTGGTGCCGTGTGTATACATTGCATCATATACACTCAGGCTGTCCGGGCGTGGTTTTACAATACCGCTCCTGTGAAGAATAAGAAGAAGAAAGATAGGCCCTCCGCGTTCGGCCGACGACTGAACTGGCACCGTGTCGTGGCATGGCACATGCCCGCGGAACTGGAAGAGAAGATGGCTTCGACCGGGGTCACTCACGGAGACAAAGACTTCCTCGCGACGTATCAAAAGGAGCTGCGGAATCTTGCCAACAGTCTGCCTCGGGCGAAGCAACGGGAATACAAGGAGGAGGCCGTCCGGTGGAATTCGGAAGGTCAACCTCACGAGCTGCAAGACCGGAACATCGTTCGGAAGAGCGAAGCGGTCATGTTAGACTTCGCAAACTACGTGTGGAGGAACTTCGGTATGCGCGTGTTCGTCCACGCCGTCTACAAATCCCTGGAAGGCAAACCGTGTTTAATTGAGTGAGTACCAACATTGTAATTGACTCCATGAAATCTCATCATTCCACGACCGCCAGCTTTGATTGCAACGACCTTGTCGACCCCAACGCCCAGCGCTCAGCGGGTCGGGTCAAATTCAAGGATATGTACCCTGACTACAAACGTGCGGACGGGTTCCGAGATCTATTCAAGGACTATGGGCACAAACTGTTTGGTACGTGAATATCCTCCACCACTTCCTGGCTTATCCGGGTGGCTCATGGGCGATTTCGCTATTCCAGCGGGCGAGGACGTATCGGAGGACAGTGATGCGGATGTGAGGGCGAGTAAGCGGGGCGTGCCGAAGATTGACTGGGAGATGTACGATGACGACACTCCCTGTATGCCGCACCACGGTGACGAGTGCTTCAAGAATCTACGGAACAAGAAGGCATTCATTTCGGAGTTCGTCCGGCTCCATTACGGTCAGCATGAGATGTATATGACATCAACAGGTACTGACAGTAGTGCAACAGTGGCGTATACAAAAATGCCGAAACTGAGAGTCCCTTGGGTCGCCCTCCAGGCATCTTCGGAGCAGCTTCTCGAGGCCGGGTCCCTTCCAACCGGCGTCAACCTTCGAGAACCCTCTCACATGAAGCAGGCAGAGGTGGACGCCATCATCGCACACTGGCGGACAAGGGCTACCTCCACACGGCTTGCCTTTGTCATTCGTTTCATTGCCTACCGAAACCATCAAAGCGAGATCGTGTCTGTGGAACATGAGGAGCCGCGGACAGCTGCCCGTCGTGCTGCCCGGAGTGCACGACCTCGGCGTCAATCGTCCCCCCATCCGAAGGGTCGCCGCTCGCGTCCAAGTGGCTCGAAGCCTGTGAGTGTCCCCCTGGCACAACGGAGTGAGGCCTCCGATGGAGACGACGAGCGGGACAACCTTCATGAACGCCAGTCGGACACCGATCGTAGTGACACGGACGTCGCCAGCGAAAGTGACCTACCTGACAAGAAATCGTCTTCTTCCTCGTCATCGACATCTTCGAGCTCCTCAACTGGAAGTGATCCCGCTACCCCGCCGCCCCCCCGTCACAAGAGCGGAGAGCTAGTAGTGCGGCCTTTGCCAGACCACTCCCCATCGCCCCTAGCATATGACGATTCGGGCCACGAGATGATCCGGTCAACGGTAAAGGACAGCCCGCATTCGGACATTCTGCCTGCCACGGACGCGGGACTGCCATCTCCGTCGTCGTCCTCGAGCCCCGCATCACCTTTGCTCCCAGTGGATCGCAAAGGCAAACAACGAGCTGACATCCCTCCTCCATCCGATCTCTTTAGTCCCAAACCACCTCAGCGTCCAGTGGGGCTGGGACCTAAAAAGGGAAGAATGGCACCTTTGAGGTTGATGTCTGGTCTAGTTATCGAGCGCATGAGCAGTCCAGCCCAGCAGCATAGCCCCGAACCGCGGTCCGATTCGCCATGTCCGCCACCAAGGGTCGTGCCCCGTCTGCGTAGGCGGGATGGGACCGGTGCCGGCCCATCCCACCCATCACAGTCTGCGTCCTCGTCCGTGAAGCACAAAAGTGGGTCGGCCGCCCAGTCCGTCCCTGTGGGCAAGACAGGTGTATTGGCAAACTCCTTGCCCGGGAAGGCGTTGTCCAGGAATACGATAGGTCGGGCAGCTCGGACAGCCTCCGCAGGTCCTTCCGGGACGACTGGTTCACCCATGGCTGACACACAGGCTTCAGCGGCGTCGGCTGCTCATGAGGCCGTGGATCGGAAGCCGTCAGCATCGTCGGCGGCCCCACACGAGGCTGGGGAGGAAGCCGTGATAGAAGAAGGCGCTCCGGCCAAAATGAGGGACGACATAGTCGATCGCCTGCGCTTCCTCCGTGAACTGTCAAGGAGCAAATACTACTGTGCGCTGTTGGAAGTCATTCCGCCATTGGTAAGCATTTACAACAACGGGTTGAATCTTACATGCTGAGGAATCGTCTCCTGGCAGTCACATGCCGGATCTTGGCATACCACCAAGAGCTGGGAATGGGGCATGTGGTCTTACGAGAAATCTCATTGCCCGCCAGCGGCCCACACGAACGCGACCGAGATCAGATCGTTCAAGTCGTGGCTTACCAGGATAACCACAAGCATGAAGGACACATCAATCAGTATTGATGAGGCATTGACCGTCGCTCTGACGATCGGAATGCTACTGCAGGATCTGGAAATGGCCTTGTCAGATAATCGCCATAAGTATAACTTGCCGGACCACGTTCTCCACACGGTCCACGACCACAAATTCGTCAAGGAGCGCCTGCTTTATGCATGCAAGGCACTGGCTAGAGAATGGCGGGAAGTTCCTGAGCGGACGAAGCGACTGATGCATCCGCCGGGGACCGGTTCGGATGCCTCTGCAATTGGCGCAAGGATGAGGAAGCGTGGGCGTAAAGAGGGACATGGCTCACCGAAGGCGGAGCCTCGGCCTACGAAAAGAATTCGCCGGCGGTAGAATGTCCATGTACGTATGTCATAACATATGTACGCATGCTTGTACAGCAGAGAATAGACGTTAATGGCATACTCTGTTCACTGTTCACTAAATGTTCACTCAGTATGCGACTTCGGTCATCCAACCTTGGTCATCCGACCTTGGTCATCCATCCGACCTCGGTCATCCGACCTCGGCACCGACCTCGGACGCCCGACCTCGGACGCCCGACCTCGGACGCCCGACCTCGGGCGTCCGACCTCGGGCGTCCGACCTCGGGCGTCCGACTTCTGGCGTCCGATATCGGGCGTCTCCCACGGGACACCTGCTCTTACTGTGCATCACCCATGAGATTTCTTTCCTTGCATTCCTACAATTATCCGGCATCAATGCATTCATCACTTTGCCACTGGCGGACCAATCATCATTCCATCGCACAGTGTTCTATATCGTACAACGCGTAGAGGGTACAACATGGCGGAAAACTAATATATACTGCTCAACCGACCCGTGGCATATCGCGGGTACGGCTGCGGGCCCCATTGCTCTCGTGGGCACTCTGGATGGGAAGGGTGCGTGCGGCTCCCGGACGCTCAAAGCACCTGTTAAATTGCATGTCAATAACTCGGAGCGATCACACCATGGCAGACGGGACTCACATCGCGAGGGGAAGGACAAGATATTGTTCGGACATACTGAAGTACGTCAACTCGTTCACGACGAATACATCGTGCCCAGCGGCCTCATTGGCAGTCTGGACAAATGTGTCCCGCAGCCGTTCCTGCGCTTTGTCTTCGAGGATGCGACGGAAGTGTCGCTTCTGATCCTCCCATGCCGTAATAATCACGGCGGTGAGGCCGCGCTTGCCGATGAGCCCTAAATTATCAGGGGGGTGTCAACAACACATCCAAAAATTGGTCAGACTACGCACAGCTCACAGGCGCAACACGGTGAGTCTCGGGGAGCGAGCGCACCCAATCGATTAAGTAGACGATGTCGTGCGAGACGTCATCGTCGGCTCCGGGCTCTCCGTCCTCCAAGGCATCCTCGGGGTGATGTTCACCCCACTTCTTCACCCAGAAATTGTGGACACTGCGCTCGGGCAGTATGTAGCCCCCAATCATGCCCATCCTGGGGATGGATAAGTCAGTCGATGTGAACGCTTGCCAGTGTGTCATGGAACTCACTTGGTTCTGTGTGGCTGCTGCTTGTACGATTGCCGTTAACAGATAAGATGCAGTCGGGATCGATAATATGATGCCCTGACACTGTGCCTGAGACAATCACGTGACTAATGCCCACGCTGTGTTCTTCTCCCGTGTTCCGATATCGTGGGGCCTGCGGCAGTAGGCGTTCGGTGGCAGATGTCAGACTGCCTTCGGGCGTGTGAGCGAGGCTTTCACAGACAATGTCAAGGATCCTGTATTCTTCTGCCGTGTTCCGATAACCCGGGGGCCTGAGTTGATGAGCGTTCGGTAGCACATGCCTAACTGAGTTCGGACATGTGAGGTATGCTCCGCAACACAGCGGACAAAAGGCGGGAACTTTCACTGAGCTTCCGATGGCGATGATATGTCTCTATTGCGAACACAGTGATAAGTGATTCTCTGTCCGGAACTTGGGTGTGGACTCCGCATGGCATGAGAGACAAACCACGGCAATGAGTCATTGTATTCACTCAGCATGTCTCTTGCCCGTTTTCTGAAGCCGGATAACGTTGTCCGAACCCCAAGTGTTGTGTTCTGCATGAGTCAGGCAAACATCCATGATATGCTGTCGATCCGCGGACTGCTTCGGAGACAAACCATTGGCCGATAGACATTGCATTCGTACTCCCATGTTTGGAGCACCATACAACGAAATACACACCCCCGGGTGATGAGCAAGCCCGATGTCATCCATATATAAGAATCTGCGCATTGTTGTTAAAGCAGCAGCCGACGTGCAACACTCGTGCAGCATCGACGAACATGAGCAAGGTGAGCAGTGATGCATCGGACGCATGCGGGCAAGAACACTAACACCCTGTAGGTTTCCTTTGATGGACACGTCGACCTCGATGATCGCCTCCGACAGATATTCAACCACTGGCGCACATGTCCTACGTCGAGCCAGTACTCCACCTACGGAGCCTGGAACAAGTACCTCTCCGTGCGTTTCCGGCACGACATGGTCAAGCCGCAAGAACCGCTTCGCCCGTCCGTTCCAGGTCAGGACGTTCTTACCGTTCTTCATCGCCGCCGGGGCAATGAGGAGCTGGCCATTGCTGGCCAATCCTCAGCCACGGTGCACCCGTGACACTGACTACACTGGTACTGGTCGGTCGTTCCCTTACTTGGCATCCGAACTCACCGGCTGCAGGAGGACTGGTCTTTAAGCGGCAGAAGAGCGGCACGAAGCTGCCAGACTTTGTCGTCGCGTCATACTACGGTCTCGAGATCGGTACGAACGAACTGAAGGCCGAGCTACCGCGCCTCGTCGTTGAAATAGGCTCGCTCGACGAGGGCGAGAAGACACCGACAGCGGCCCATCGCAAAGCCATCATGACTCAGCTGAAGGGTTACCTCATGCGCATCGCCGTCGACATTCCTCCAACACAGGCCGACTTCCCTTACGGTGTTGCCATCGTTGGCACGGAGGCTGCGTGGATCCGTCCAAACCGACGTGGCGGCGGCATGGTTGGGCATTCGTCGGTGGTGTGAATGGAGGTAAGGAGAGTGGGAGCATTTATGACCCCAAGTTCCGGGTCCAGATCGATCAGCTTGTGCAGCGCAGCGAGGCGAACGCGGTCGCTCACGCGCGTCTTCACCGGAGATGATCGAAACTCCCGAGGCCTTCTTGTGGCTGCGGAGGGGACCGTGACGAGGCCGATGGCAGCGACGACAATCCCGAGGACGATGAAGGCGATGGCCAGGGCCTTGAGGGCAGCGATGGCGGCGACGACGGGTGGAGGCAGCATCGGGACGAGGAGGAAGAGGACGAGACAGGAGGGCGACGAAGAAGTCGAGGTCGAGGAGGAGGAGGAGAGGACGAGGAGGAGGTCGAGGTCGAGTCCGAGGATGACGATTAATACTCCAAGTGCCCTCGAAGATTGTTCTGCCTATGCATGTTTGCCTCATATAGATAATGATGATTAGCCGACCAACACATCGACATAAAGAAAGGTGTACAGAGTAACAGAATGGAGGGAAGGAGGTATCCGCACGGCCCAAGCCAGGACCCGATGTCGGGCTTCCGATGTCGGGCGTCCGATGTCGGGCGTCCGATGTCGGGCGTCCATGTCGGGCGTCCAATGTCGGACGGCAGTGGTTCCTCATGCACGTGGTCTTGGCGGGTGTGGGAAAGCAGCCACAAAGGCGTGATCGCAGGTTCATCATGAGCCCTGCTATCTCCTCTCATCTCACATCCCACTCAGATTCCTCGTCACCCTTTAACATTGTTGCTATGGCTGTCCCCACCGCGCAAGACTACGATGATCTCTGCTACACTACGCGCTCCGTCTGTAAAGGGAGCAGCAGTCGGTAGTAAAGCCGACGGAAGCACACCCCAAATGGACGACGAGCTCGTGAAATCAATGGTAATCCATGACACTGCGTCCAGCATGGTATAGGCCACTGATGTTCTATTTCTTCAGTGCATGGCCGCGCTCGTGACTGGGCTCAAGCGGCTTTCCGACGAGAACACGCAGATGGCCCTGGGCATACGGACGCGATGGCCCGCTTTTGGGATATTGTGGGTGGCCGGGAGGAATCGGGCAAAGCAGCGCTGTCGCGTTTGGGTGATATAGTGGTCCCCAAAGCGATCCGAGAGCCCGATCAACTTATCCAGGTCCCACCGGATGTCGCAATGGACATCCGCGAAGCACGCGGTCGAGAAGGTATGTGTGGGCGATTGTGGACCGATTTCCATCCTTACAAACTAAATAGGCACGGCACTTTTGCCTCCGGATGGTGTATCACTTTCCGCATTTCGTACGGAAGTTCGTGACACGCTTGAAGCGGAGGCCAGCCCGAGTGACGCAATCAACGAGATGTTGGAGGTGCAAATTGCGGAATGCGAGGGGGACCACACTGCGAGGGATCGGGCGGAGAACCGGTACACCAGGAGGCAAGTTCGTTCTGTACTCCCAGTGGAATCGCCTTTAATGTTGCTCCCGATAGGTCATTGGGCGCGCCCGTACCGGCTTAACCTGCGACGCTCCCGCCCTCGTAATGCATGTTCCACAGAGTCCCCCAGGCTACGGGCAGCGAGGGGAGGGCGGCACGATGCACAAAGTGTTGACAGCAGAGGAGGAGATCGAGTTTCTCCGTGAGTGTGTCACCGCACTACAGGCGAACTTCGAATACATGGAGGAGTACATCTCGGCGGAGATTCGGTTCTGGGATTCGGCGTTGGCGGCGAATGAGCGCAACCTAGACGACTGGTATGCAAGGGAGGCTGAGCACCCTGTCATGGAAGATACGGAGTATTTGCCCATGACTACACAGAGTTCCGTAGCTTAGATGACATGTGACAATGAATAATCAAGCCTGCTTGCATGTGTAGGATGTTTTCACAGCCTTGTGTAGTTGAACTCACTGGCCTGTATACATGCAGTTCCAAATGGCCAGACAAGTCGAATCATGTATGACAACTCTGTATCCGTCATATGGCACGAAAGCGATCGTGTACACCGGCGGGCGGCAATGTGATATCGGAGCCCGCTTTCGGACGCCCGATGTCGGACACCCCATGCCGGACCGTGGGCAAGGGATGAGGATTGAGCAAGAAGAGGCGATGTCATTAAGTGTAATCATCATGTATCAAGCTTCGGCAAACAATCATGACATTAGTCCGCACCCGTACATGGACAAACAATCGCGAAATGTTGACCCATTAACTATCGTACCATGTTCACGGCATCCATCCGACTGCCTCCCTGTCATGAGACGCTGTCGCAGTGCCCCCAAATCGAGACGAAGCTTGTCGTGCATAGCATGAAGCTTGTGTTCTCCTGCCGAAGGTCATGCACTTCGCGCGAGACATCGGCCGCGGTTCGAACAGCTCGACTCCCTGTACACTTTCATATCAGGCGAAGACCATGCCCTGTGAACCCATTCAAATGAGTCGATCGGCAATTGACTATACCCGAGGTGACCTACTCGCGGGAGCGCTCCAATGTAGCAGGCACCCATCTGCGCTTGCATTGTTAGGGCCTGAGGAGCTCGCCATCGAAGCCTGAACCCGCTGCTTTCCTTTCGGCTGCTGACCATTCGCAACACGCTCGCTCGGAACACGAGGGCCATGCAACTCATTATCGTCATCAATGGATTGCAGGCCTCCGCCCGACGCCGACCCTTTGCCTTCCCAGCCTTCGGAATCACGAGCTCCTCCAATCGTCCACTTCCTCGCTGGTATCGATGCTGTCCGCCTGCTGTTCCCCAGTTAATATCATCGACCGATCCATTGTTCCAATTACTCACATCATGGTCCGCGTCATTCTCCGATTCCTGCAGGTACTCCCAGTGTGGTGTCATTGACGACCCTGCCCATTCCGCCCCAATGACCAGGTGTCGGGCGAACATCAAGTTCCTTCGATTGATTTTCGTCCATTGCAACAAGGCCGATGTGAGGGAGCACGAAGGAAACTCCATGGGCAGGCCCTGAGGCCGTCGCGGATTGCCCTGCTCCGCTAAGAGCATGACCCATGGTCGGGGGCACCTTGAGGGCCGCACCCGGCTCTGAAGACGCAGAGGGCGCAGCCATATCGATGACCGGGCCATGTGGGACATGCCCGGCGGCGGGGTCGCACAATACCATCCGCTTCCGAACACCCTTGGGTCATCCACTGTAATGCGGTCCATCCGTCTCTTGTAATCGCCCGACACATGCTCGCAAGTTCTTCCATGGCGGAAATGGCAATGGGAGGCACATACACCAACCAATCCTATCGGTCGCCGATCGCAAGATATCCGTGATGTTGAACTGGAGTCACTATCAGCAATTGGAACTGGTGTGAAAAATTGAAAATTACAGTGAGAGATTCCACGGCCTTCCACTGAAAGTCAAAAACGACATATCAATGCATGTCTCAATAAACTAAGCAGTGTCTTACAAGCTGCCGCATTGTATGCCATCCTGAAAACGGGGATCTTTGGATTCCCTTACCCCTTCTCGATTTGGGTGCCATACATATAAAGCACACCATTGACTTCCATGGCACCTTCAAACCCGTCCAGTGGGTCAGCAGCTTGAGGGCGACCAGCATGGTTCAATGAGGAGAGGTTTTTGATGTCATGGTACGGATGTGGCAGAAATTGACGGAGCGGAGGTGGAATGTGTCGTCAATGAGTGGAATGGAGTTGCGGACAAGAGCCGCATGTATTACAAATAGCTTGGGTAGGAAAGCAACCAGTCTCACGTGGTCAGATCTAGCACATCCGTGCCTTGATCGTCCGATGAATCTGACCAATCAGATTGGATTTCCATATCAACATTAAGTCATACAATATGCCACCAGCCAGTGAGCACGATCTATCGGCGTCCGACAGCGGGCGTCCGACAGCGGGCGTCCGACAGCGGGCGTCCGACCTCAGGCGTCCGACAGCGGGCGTCCGACCTCGGCGTCCGACCTCGGGCGTCCGACCTCGGGCGTCGGAGCTCGGGCAGTCATTGTGAATAGCTGGGCAGCCTACACTCGGCCATCTTACATGAATGTCTTCCATACCCCACTCGTATAAACCTGTCTGTCATTATTCTCATCAAAATGACATGCTACTTTACAATCGTAAGTCTACAAATGCTCGGCGCCCGTACCCGCTGGATGCACATCGTCCTTTTCACTCCCCAATTCCACACCGTCGTCGTTCAATGTTGTCCACCTTGGGAGCGGGGGTGAGTCGCGAAGCTGAGGCGCGTTGCTATTCGATTCTCCGCGGGGCCGAACGGCGATGGTATTCCCCACCGCTACCTTCCTCCCGTGTGTTCAGCTGTGCGACGCTGTTGACGTTGACCTGAGGGTTTATATTCTGAGGCAAACACATTGAATGCGATGCCCCGTCGCTATCGCCATGGTCAGGCGATGCACCCGCCTGCAATCCGTCGTCAGTGCCTGTGGCGACATCCAAATGCGGACAACTCACCGCATCCGACGCCTCGGCAGGCTTGGCACCTAAGGTTGCGGACGTTACATGCATTGAACCTGATGTGTCGTCAATTGTGGCCTGAGCATCAGGCGTTGCGGCGATGGATTCTTGTGTCGATTCGGGCACAGTTCTTTGCGAGCTGTTCGTCATCGGATCAGGATAAGCTTGTGCCCCATCGTCTACACTGGTTTCGCGACTCGGTGTGCAGCCCGAGACGTCGCCGGGCCCAGCGGGAAGCGGGGGAGGTGCCTCGGACGGTTCCGGGGGTGGACTGGTGCTGACACCGTCTCCTGCCATGGACCGATTAACCACCTCCGATCCCGCTCCCGGGCACGATTGATCGTCTTTGAGGACCTCATCCGTCCGATCCTCGTTGGCCTCCGCCAGGCCCGGCGACTTTGTGGTCGCGCGGGAGACCTTGGGGCTCTCGGGCCAGTGCCCGGGGGAGTGGCCGTCACTACATACGGAGTCAAACCCCGCGAGGGACTGTTCGGAGAACCCTCTCCCATCTTCGATGCCTCCGCCGACCGCATGTCGACACCGTCCGCCTCGGCCTCGTTCGTCTGGCCGGATAGGGTGATGGCGCCGGGACCCGGCTGGACCTCATCCATATCGGCGTCGTTGTCGATCGCCAGCGGACTGCTACCAGAAGCACCGGCCAACTTCGGCTCCTCCTCCACACCCATGTCGAGCTCCTCGGCCACGGCGTCGTCGGGTTGCATGGAGAGCCTGATGGCCTTGGGAGCCACCGGCTCCTCGTCCATGTCAACGTCATTGTCGATGGTGGTGCGGATTGGCGGCACGCCCGGCAATGGCTCGGGATCAAACCTCGCCTCGACCCGCTGGGGATCCTGATGGCTACCAGATCCGGACGCGCTAGATGGGCCCCCAACACCATCCGACATACGGTCCCGTTGGACCCAGTCTGGAACAGAATGGTGAGTTAGTCGCTACTGGTGATCGGGGAACACCTACCACCGACACCGAGGTGTGCGCACAAGTCGTCGAAGTCACGCCGGAGCTCATCGTACTTGTGTCGGAGCTCAACGTTCTCCTGTCGCAAGTTGTGGAGCTCCCGCGAGATGGCACTCGACGATTCCAGCACCACAAATTCCTCATGTTGCTCCAACGAACTCCCGGACCCAAATCCTAGGTGTTGTCAGCCGAGATCAAAAGCATCAAATGCAAGGGACTCACGATTTGGAGGTACACCGATGTAGGCCGGCACTACCCGCGGTCGCTCCCCTTGGGTTCCACTGTTTGATGGTCCAGCGGAATGACTCGGGGACCTCCTGCTCGGAAGATCAGCCTGGTCGAATTCTACTGTTACCTCCCTCTGCTTGCTCTTCGACCTTCCGCGCGTCTGCTTCACGGGCTCGGACACGATGCGGGGCCGCTTTGACGGGCGGCGGGTTATGCGCGTGCTTCTTCGGGAAGACGTGCTTGCGACGGACGCTGTGTCGGAGTCCGCCCCGCCATCAGGGTCAGTGTCGGGGGGCACCGTCGCCACTGACGCCACGGACACAGATCGGGCTCGCTTCCGAGGGTTCGCCTTCACCGCCGACGGAGTGCGTGATCGTGAGCGGACTTCCCGTCCTCCGTCTCATCTGGGACGTCCGCGTCGAAGGCGACACAGGGCTTATGCTTCCGGAAGCACTCGTCGCAAGTCGTAGCCGCCTTCCTGGGGTCACTCGATACCCAGCAGTGCATTGAATGGCACCGCTGGCACTTCGTGTCCTGCAAACACATTGAGATGAGTGGGCGGATAACAGAGATACATTACCTACCATCACGCGAATCCAATTCTCGCGACGTTTGTTTTTCGAGCCCGCCCAATCGAACGCCGCCAATTTCAACCGGGCGCGCTCGGCTTTGCAAATCTTCACGAGGGTGCGGTAATCGTCGACTTCGAGGGCGCTTTCGATGCGGTCCTCGAGGTCCATGCCTGGAGTCACATCCGGCTCGGATTCGGACGGTATCTCCGACACTGCCTTCTTGAGGATGGGCCGAACCTTGACACCACCTGCCGAACATCTTAATGATGAACGTTAGACATAGGGGACTTGCGACTTACTCTGTGGGGCCTGTTCGCCTTGATCTTCCGCGACCGCACTCTCAGCTCGCTGTTTTCCTTTCCCTTTGCTGGCCGCCATCGTCGTCTTCTTCGGCACAGCCGGTTCGGGCTCGTCGTCCTCTTCCTCTTCGGCGATACTGACCGCTCGCTTCTTTCCCTTCGCGTTGGTGGCGGCCATCGTGTGCTTCTTCGGCAAGGCTGGTTCCGGCTCGTTGTCAACTTCCACCTCGGGGACACTGACCACCCGCCTCTTTGGCTGCGGTCTGCTGTTTGGGGCCTTTTTCGCCTTCGGGACCACCTGCTGAGGCTCCCGGTCGTCGTCCGCATCGGAGTCGATGGTGATGGCCCGCTCCTTGCCCTTCCCTTTGATCGACGCGCTCGTCTTGGTGTTCTTCGCCGCACCGGCACCGTGGATGGCGGGTTTGGACGGGTTTGCCGCCGTCTTCGCGGGCTTCGTGTGGGGACGAGGGAGGGGCAAGGTGGGCCTTGGGCTGATTTCCGGCTCGCCCGACTCATCGACCTCCATGTCGTCGCCATCGTGCTGCGGGAGGGCGAAAGCGACACCCGGGTGCGGGCGGGGAGCGGCGGGAATGGGCGGGACAAGCGACGGCTCGCTGTCATCGGGAGGAAGCTCGTGGGACCCCGTAAACCAATCGTTTGCCGCTATTCTTGGGTCGTTCTGCTTGATCCGGGCAAACCGTCGATACAGGTCAATATCCGCCGGAGCTGCCATTTCCTCCATGGCGGATATCACCAACGGCGGCACGTACACCTCCCACTGGTTACCGTCCGCGATGACCGCGGCAGAGCTCGCCTCGGTCTGGCCGACCTGTGAGAACACGCGGACACCATGAATCACACGACAAACTCACCACCCATTTGTGAAGCTTCTTCCACTGTTGCAAGACCCGAAGGTGAGCATTGGCGCTATGGTTGAACAGACAGACACTCACTAATTTCTTGATTTCCTTTGTTTCGGCCGGTGCCGTACTCCGCCATCTTTGCACCACTCCCGCGATTTTGCCCTCCCAGAAGGTCATCAGGCCTTTGAACTGGGCTTCCGTCACCATCTTCGGGCCGTCTTCGGTAGGACCGGGGATGCTTGTTGACGCCATGATAAACGAGCGGTGAGGGAAAGCGATTCAGCGGCGAGGACAGAGAGAAGAGCGGGAGATGCAGATGAAGTTCAAGAGCCACGCGTAAGCGCCGAGCGCCAGCAGCCGACGGTGGGAATGCAGCCACAAACACGTGGTCTGTGGCTGAGCCGCGCCGCGGGCCATCCGATCGATCTCACTGATGAGATCTGAACCAAGGTCTATCAATTACCACCACCATGTCGACCTCGGTGATCGCAAGAATGAAGAAAAGAGACGGTATGTACCAGTGCTACATGCACATGCGAGCTGCCACTAACGGCTCGGTGCGCAGGATCGTCTGGTTCACCCGCGCCAGCGGATGGGCACTCGGGCGATGCGGAGCAGTGTGCTCGCCCGGCGGAACAGCTCCAGGACCCGGACGTCACGGATTCGGTGAGTTTCTCTTGCCTATAGCTTAGGCACGGCACACTCATCGGGCGAACCTATTCAGGACGACAGCGATGGGGATGATGTGATAGGTGCGTCGCATGGTCATTGGTGCAGGTTGTGGAGCAAATACTGACTTGTAATATGTATTCTAGTGCCGTTTGTCATACCCACTAGGGCCAGGACGATTGAGCCCAAGCGCGATGCGGACGCCATGGTGAGCAGGACCCACTAGACATAATTACTCGGGGCTGACAGCTAGGTACAGGACACAACCCCGGATGGTATACCAGTAACAACCGGGGTGGATACGGGGTCCGGGAAGGATGCTATGGTGATCTCTGAGGATGAACGGGCTGTGCCGTTGACTCCTCCTCGACAGTTTGTGATGCCCCAGCCCCCGGCGAACCGCCGGGCACAGACGATTCGAACCCGCGGCCGGAAGGTTTCGCCCATTCCCATTTCCAGCGACTCCGAACCCGACGGACAGTTCTAGGGCAGAGCAGGGGTACCGAAAACCCGCCAGGGTACAGGGTAGGGGTACATCGCGGGTAAGGGTAGGGGTCTCATTTCATTGACCCGCATACCCGTACTGGTACCCGTGGGCACGAAGCGTCTGCGCGAGCTCGCGGCAGCCTCCGAGTGGCAAGGAACCTTATCATTTAACCTACATAGCACATAACTGTGCCACAAACACGAAGTTCCCATATAATTGTCATAGCTGTGCAACAAAGCTTCTCGCTTCTATCAGATTGTCACGGTCCTCATGTCTTTAAAACGTCCTGCCGAAAGCTCGGAGATATCCCCCAATATGGGGAAACGCATGCGCATCCCAACAGCAAAGCTCCGCGCAGCTGAGGCCGAGAAGCCTCCACAGAAGTCGAAGAAGCCTTCGGCACCCTCTGCCAGGCGAGAGCCACGCATCAGCAATGGGCTCGACTCGCTCGAGGAACCAGCAGCACCTGCAGAGAAGTCGTCAGCAACTGACAAAGCTTCCGAGAGTCATCAAGCACCTACACAACCCAGCCGACGCACAAGTGTCTGCGATATAGCCGATGAAGACGACTGGAGCGAGACCGACGAGATTATCGAGGTCGATGTACACGGCAACACGAAGAAGGTGACACGGAATCCGAATCAGGAGGGACCTGAGGAGGAACTCGGTAAGTGAATAGCATTGCAACAAACATTGTACTTACTACTCGCCCATTCCCAGCGCGCCTAAGCAAGGAATGGACATCCCCCGTCTACGCATTCTACAAGGCCGAGGTCACCATTGATGAGGACAAGGGCAGACGCGCCCATGTATTCCACTGTGCGAACCGAGGCTGCGATGTTTCGATTAAACGTTGGCTGGATAAGAAGGATAGGCACTCAACTGGTAACCTTCGCAAGCACGTCAAGGTGTGCTTCGGCGAAGAAGCGATGGGCTGTGCTGACAGCGCTGGGTCCGCATCAAAGGCGCGCGAGGGCGTGAAGAAATATCTACGATCTGGGGATCTGACGATGTCATTTACACGTACCGGAAAAGGGAAAGTTACCTACTCGGTGCGGCAACATACACGCGCAGAGACAAGGTATGTGACTGCATCACATCCATGAGTCCAGTGATAGATCATAGATTAATAATACGTACCAGGGCGGAGATTGTTCGTTGGGTTGCAGAAAGCAACCGGCCGTTTGCGATCGTCGAAGACCGTGCGTTTCAGAGCCTGATGAAGACGGGGCGACCCGAGTACTGGATTCCTTCTCGGTGGACCGTCGGACGCGATGTTCAGAAGGTCTTCGCACGCACTCGCACTCGCATTGGGAAGATGCTAAAGGTTAGTCTCTTTGATTACAAGATGACGTACCTTACGCGGCATCCAGGAGTACAACGGCGAGTTAAACTTTACCACCGACTGCTGGACATCGCCCAATCACAAAGCAATGGTTGCTTTCTCCGTCCACTTCGAGCAAGACGGCGTGCCCATGCGGATGACGCTCGATGTTGTCGAGCTAGCAACCTCGCACTCGGGCCTGAACCTTGCGAAGACATTTGCTGATCTCGTCAATGGCCTGGATATCAATGCGAAGGTAAAGTGAGCATTGTTTGTCCATAGTGTCTGCCACTCACCACATTCGTCAGGTCTTAGCGATCACCGCCGATAACGCGTCTGCAAACGACGTTATGATCGACGAGCTTGTCGAGCTTCTCGAGTCGTTTCGTGGGCAAGCCGCACATGCACGTTGCTTTGACCATACCCTGAATCTCATCGTCAAGACACTCCTTCGGCAGTTTGATACCGCGCGCCGCAAGAAGAACGCCGACCACGATGCGCTTGATGCTGCTGAGGAAGCGCTGCGAGGCCTCGCCAGTGAGGAGATCGATCTTGATGATGATGACGGGATCGAGGAGTGGGATGTCTCTGAGCTCGATGATGATAATGTGGAAGGATGGGTTGACGAGCGCGAGGAGCTGACTGAGGAAGAAGTTGCCGAGCTGGATGCGACGACACGGCCAGCAAAGTTCGCGCTAGCCAAAGTAAGTGCTTACTGGACAGAGAAGCCGAGTTACTCACTGTCACCTAGCTGCGAAAGTTCGCATTCGCCGTCATCAATTCGACAACCAAACTCCTCCCCGCCTGGTACCGAACCGTCGAGCTACTGAATCTTCCACAAGATAACATGCCGCGCGACGTTCGCACTCGCTGGAATTCCACTTATGGAATGCTTAGCTTCGCAATCAAATACCGAGCTGCAATTGACCGACTTACCAGTGACCGGTCCATGGACCTACGAAAGTTCGAGTTGAGCGACGAGGAGTGGAAGATCTCGGTGCAGTTGTGTGGCATACTCAAGGTGCGTGCGCCATGACTGTAGCCACTCACGTGTCACTCATGTGACACCTCACTCGCCCGCAGTTCTTTTCAGACGCCACATTGTTCTTCTCGCGCGATGTCCCCAACCTCGCAATGGTCATTCCGGTCATGGATGTTCTCGACGAGCACCTGACAGATTCCTCACGCAAGCCAGACGTCTACCCTTCCATTCGCGCCGCCGTTGCTCTGGCAAAGAAGACCCTTAATCGTTATTACAGCAAGACCGACGAGTCTAATGCATACCGCATCACAATGAGTAAGTGCCATTGTATTCGTGATACTTGCGCTGACTGTGTCCCCAGTCCTACACCCTCGTTACAAGCTCAGGTACTTCGAGACAGCAAAATGGCCAGGAGACTGGATTCGCGCCGCAGAAACGGCCGTCCGCGATGAGTACGCCGATTGGCTGTCGCGTCACGGCGAACAGGAGGCTGCTAGTAGCACGAGCGAGGACGAGGACGGCGGGACACACGGTGGTAAAAAGAAGGTACGTGACTGGTTTTTGCTACATGTTTAGTGGCTCATATGTCTCTATTCCACGCGATATCAGTCGAAGAACTTGTTCGACAACATCCCAGCTCTCGCGCCGCCGAAGCCCACCAAGATCGCTAATGAGCTGGACACGTACCTTGCGGACGACGTCGAGAAGGCCGCCGACCCTGTCGCGTGGTGGTATGAGCGACGCGCGAAGTACCCGAACCTCTCGCGCATGGCCATCAGCTACCTTACAATCCCTGGTATGACCAATTATCTACTCTAATCAGTTTTCGTGCATTACTTATGGTATCTGGTACAGCGACGTCTGCCGACGTTGAACGCGTGTTTAGTCGCGGCCGTCTCATTCTCCCGCACATCCGCAACGGCATGTCGTCGCAATCGATCCGGGCACTCTTGTGCCTTGGTGATTGGTGCCGACTTGGCCTTGTTGAGGACGATGACGTGCGCGCGGTCGCCGCCGAGGCTGATGATGGTGCAGAGTAGCTAGGGTGGGACAGTGTTATGTACAAAACATCATGTAGTAGCTGATTCGACGAATTCATGTGCTATACCTGCGACATACCCGCGACCCGCACATGACCCGCGTCGACCCGTCTGCCACCCGTACCCGCTGTGGCGGGTCCGTACCCCTGCCGGGTAAGGGTACGGGTCTACCTCGGGATACCCCCGGGTATACCCGTGCTCTGCCCTAGACAGTTCGACTTACCCACAACGCATGCAAGCAGCACCACTTCCGTCAGTGGTACCCGACTTATCGGCCCGCTCCCGGTGTCGGACGTGGAGTCTGATGACGACGGCTTGGAGACCGTTGTGTTTATCCCGCCGAGACGATCACGCAGCAAGACCGCATCGGCACCCGTAGGCTTGGCGGAAGGAGTGGGATTGTCGGCTGGTGGCTCAAGTGTGGGCGGAGTGCAGGGACCGTCGATTATGGCCGTCGGACGCCAATCCCCTATGCCGATAGAGATCTCAAGCGACGACGATACTGAATCTGAGGTGGACGACGGTGTGGAAGACGGTCCAGTCAATGTGTTGGCTGGGCGGGCAATACAGACTCCGCCGCCGCATGGGAGTTCGCTGGAGGGTCCAGAGTCTCCCCCTTACCGGAGTGCAACCCCGATCGATGTCTCATCCACTGATGAGACTGATTCCGATCTGGAGACGGGAACACCCATCAGGCCCTCCATGGCGGTTCCAAAGACCACGCCGAACGCAATCATTGCCGACGATACGGCGCCAACGACCCCGTTGCGACCAGTCCTCGGGAGTCCTGTCAGCCTGGAAAGGTCACTGGTTGAAGAGCGACGGGGTCTACCCGCAACGGAGGATAGGCAGAACTGGCGAGGTCTGCCAGACATCGCAAAGCCGATTGCACGAAAGAAAGGTGAGTTGTCACGGTGACCTTTTTATGCGTCCCAGGTCGGAAGTCCGACCGCGGGCGTCCGACCGCGGGCGTCCGACCGCGGGCGTCCGAAGTCGGGCGTCCGAAGTCGGGCGTCCGAAGTCGGGCGTCCGAAGTCGGGCGTCCGAAGTCGGGCGGTCGATGTCGGATGTCTGACAGCGGACGGTCAGCCGCATGGTGGTGCCTTGTTTGATGACCTGTCTATGTTCATAAAACTGACAAGGACATGTTTGACAGGAAATCGTCCTGTATTCGAAGTCCCCAAGAAGTCTACAAATCCAAATTCGTTCTTGGGAGGGGTGCCGGGACCATCGCGCCCGAAGTCGAACGCCCAGCTGCATGGTAGTCCCTCGTTAGATGCCCTGACCATGTTCATGATGCTAACAATGATCTGATTTACAGGAAAGGATCTTCTCTTCGGCTTCAACGATGAGTCTACGAACCCGAATCCGTTCTCGCGAGGGGTGCCGGGACCATCGCGCCCGAAGTCGGACGCCGAGCCGTATGGTAGTCCCCGTTTTGGTGCCTCGTCTACGCTCATGAAGCTAACAATGACATTTTGTACAGGAGCGGGTCTTCGCTTCCGCATGAACGACGAGTTCAAAGGCCGATCTCCTTTTGTGCGAGGGGTGCCTGGACCTTGGCGCTCCACCGTGGCGTCCACCGAGGAATCTCAGTGTAAGATCTTTCATGTTGTTAAAATGCTTCGCATTTGACTTCGCTCCTCAGTTGAGGGCGAGTTCGTGAAGGGCCCCCGCTATGACGCGCCCGTGCCTCGAATGGTGGAACACGACATTCAGCAAGGCGCGGTCCTCCGTGCGCGATTGGAGGCTTTACGCGAGCTGCAGCGGGCCAACAGGCGGGGTGGCGAGATTCTCGCAAAGATGGCGAAATACTACGGGACGGCGGACAAGGAGTAGGACATGTTGTAGACATGTTGTAGTTTCATTTTGGCTAGAAGTTACGATCAAATACATGTGGAATGTGGTGCCATCAGGAATTTGACCACGAAGCTGCCGGATTCGAGAGGTCCAGTGAGAATGTGGATCACTGGAGGAATTCCGGAAAAAGGGGCGGGCAATGGCATGGGAGCCGGTGTGTCGCAGCCTACAAGTGGAATCATTGTTGTCATGTCAGCCGATCAGCCAGTTTGTCACGGATAACCGTGAGAGAGACGTTATGATGGACACTACATCTAGCGCAGGGTAGAACCTCGGCCGGCTCGGACCGGACGGTCGTGAAAAGAGCAGGCCGAGGCGGGCGTAACGAGCCGATGGCTCGTCGGCCAACGTGGTGCAAACGTAGTGTCTCATGCCGGCCGGCGTGTACATGATGATGCAGTCTCAAGACGGCCGACGTGTAGATGATGATACAGTGGCATGATGGCCGTCCATGTTGACCGGATCGTGTCTGAATGACAACCCACCAGGTAGTACCGGACAAGGCACACAGCGGCCGACTGGGACTCGATGACAGATTTTGTTGGCGGCCGAGCGGGTGGCAATGGTGTCGGCCGTCTGTGCTTCAGTGGACTGTTTGACGATCGGCCGACGTGCTAACTACCAATCGACAGCAACGTGAATTGCGCTCTGGTATTACGATTGTAGGCCGGCCCGAACAGAATGCTCATGTCACACGTCGGCCTACCGGATAACATTGTCGGAGTCTCACGTCGGCCGACATGGTAAACATTGTCAGAGTCTGTGACGTCGGCCGCCCCGCATGGAATTGTGTCAGTCATATACTTCCGAGGTGGTCGACCGAGCGGGCGCTGACTCAATCGTCCTCGCCGTCGGCCGACTCGGGAATACCCACTAAAGTCTCACGGTCGGCCGACGTCGGGTGGCCGGGCAACAATAAGTGAATCTCATGTTGGGTGGCCGGGCACCAATGGACTGTTTAGCTCGATTGGCTCTAATAACGTCCAGAAAGCGAATCGTAGGTATGTTGCAGCTCTAGGGGGGACCGTTATTCGCGTCCTGATTGGCCAGAAACAGTCCGAGCACATCGGGTTTGCCCAATTTGGTTAGGAAACAAATAGACACAAATGTTCGATTCACGGGGGCGCCCGCAAAACTCACCTCTTGCGTGTGCAATCTACAAGGTGCTACATCCGTCCTTCTACCCTCTACCCAGGTGCACCCTCTTGCCTCTTATCCTGTTCCCCGTGTCCCTTCCTTGCCACTCGCCGAATCACACATCAAGACTCAACAAGTACGTCCGATGGCACGTCAATGAGCACATGCGAATGGCGCGTCGGCATGGCCAATGCCCAGCTACTTACATCGAGACATCTCGCAGCATAGTAAGCATGGACTGCATCCGTGTAAGGAGGAAGCTAACCGACTCGACTTGAAGGGCTGCAGCGTGCACGTTGAGGTAGAACTGCACAGCGAGAACAGCCCCGATCAGGAGACACTTCACAACGGGCGCAACATCGGGAAGACCCTCCCTGCGGACTACACACGCAGCATCATGCACACCGTCGTCATCGATGGCATCGACCGCAGCCCGTACGCCCCCTCCTCCTCTTCTCAAAGACCGCCACCAAACTATCCGCCATCCCAGCTGCTGCGGTACGCACATGCCCACCATCCACGACCTCTTCGTTGTCCCGCACACGGAGTTGCTCGCCACGCGCGCGAGCTCGACCTCCGTGCGGCTCAGCTGTGGGATGCTGCAAGTCCCTGAACACGTTGTGGAGGGCGTGGAGGAGCGCAACTGCAGGACGAAACATGCGGAGGACGTCGAGGCTGAGCTTGCGGGGTAACGAACAGGCAGGTGAAGGACAGGGGAATGACGGTGATCTTGTCTGCCTATTACATAGTGCTTAGTATACTCCCCAATGTCGATATTATGCACGAATAATGAAGCACTATACGACCACCGCATTTGTCACAGCGGGATAATTTGTCGCGGCCTCAAACATACCAAATCGGGAAGGCTGCCGCTTAATCCCTTGGCCCTTTACTTACAGTGTCCACGAACTGCATCAAGGCTTGAAGTTGAAGCAGTAAGTCACAATTGGCATTGCAATGAATGTATTCCTACTAGGTGTATGTCGTGGCGCACGACATACATGCTGTCCATCTGCTGGATCTCGATACAGGGTATCTAGGCACGGTGCATAAATCACTATAAACGGCAGTGTATCTAGGCCCAGAAACCGTCAGATCACAAATCACGATTGCATTACCCGATCCGGGCCCGCAGCGGCACCCAAAGTGGAAGAGTGTGCAATACGACCTATTTAGGGTAGGGCCGCCGCCGCGAGCTCTCCCCGGCGCCGGATGACCTAAGCTGTCCCCAAAGGGCAGCTGCCTCTTTAGGTAGTGAGTGCGGCGCCTCGCTCATACATGAGCGAGTGGCGGCTCATGTATGAAAGGCGCCCTCCAGTAAGTACAGGCCTTTCATGTATACACCCTTTTGCGCTAACTACAGGTATTCTATACATAGGCCTGCCAGCACCTGGTGAGGGGTAGGGGTGGTGGTCATGGGTGTGGAGGTCGAGGACATAGATACGAGAGTTGCCGAGGCCGTCACTAGTTAGTTTGACGTAGCCATGTACTTGCCCCGGAGTCCTACCAATGTAGCGACACTTCTAAACCGCTCGCCTCTGCCACTAAGGGTTCCGAACATTGACGCTTGAGCTTCGAACATCGGGCGGTTCCCTCGAACGGACGGACAGTGCGTCGACCGTTCTGACTTAGTGTGCTGTTGTATTGACCGTAAATGGCGTTTTCGGTGGGTAGGTGAGCTAAGGGCTCATCATCGCACGCGGAATGATTCCGATATGTTCTCTTCCTCAAACTATTCACAGCCGACGAGACATATCGCGGCGGTGGTGGCTGCAATTTGTACTTAACCATTGCTCCATATTGAAGCGATAATGCCCCGGGATGTTATATGAGGATCATGAGGGCATCTTGGTACGCAGAGGAGGAGGGTAAGATGGAGGCTCAGGTACTTAAGGTTGGCCTCATTCAGATCCATCCAACGGAAATGGCCGAGCGTTACAAAGTGTGACAAAATATGGCCATTAAGTGAAGAATTCATACTAGATTGTGTACTCGTACTGTACCATTCAAATGACAACGAATAAATCTTCAATCGAGGTCTCCGGACACGAACTCTTTCACGAAATCATCGCGCGCAGTGTTGTCTTAGTGTAGTGCAGTTTACACGACCGCAGAACATATCCGGCGAGTAGGCGCCCGCCGCATACCGAACGTGGTTCCGTCCCTACGGTTGCACCATCACCTACGATGCCTAAACGAAAGCATGCCTGGCGATTCGCGAACCTCGGTATTCCGAGAAAGAAGTCTAAGAAGCAGGGTCAGTCAGAAAGTGGGCAAAACAAAGAGAATGTGAGTACCAAAGTTTTCGGAACCTCTTGCATGGCAATTGACCATTGCGACGAGTAGGCTAGTGTCGAGGAGCACGTATCCTCTCAGCCGGTGCCGCAAACAGCGGGGCCTGTATTCTCTGGGTTACGATCCATCTGTCAACAATTCCATAACCGTCGCAGTCAGTCTCCTGAGCCAGCATCCGTATCAGAAGCGACCTCCGAGTCGGACGCAGACTCACCTCCGAGCAAGGTTCCTTGAACCTCTCCAGAGTCCTCCGAAACACCCATGCATGACCCGACTTCATCACGCAATGCTGTCGATGACGCGAGTGATTCCGCGTCGAACTTGGATCCCGGTGTTCAGCTGTGGAAGGTAACCGCAGATCTCTTCTTCCCGCGCCCAGACAGCCACACACCGATCTCGCCACGCTCTCGCTGCGCTTCTGAGCCCGTTGATGGTCTGTCCGAGGGTTGTCCTGATGCCATGCAGGCTGTGGATACCTTTTCCGGGTCCTGTGGTATTGAGAGACTGCCTTCCGAGTCTCCGAGTCCATGTCCAATGAACATCGACTCCGAGTTGTTGCCAGAGCCTGCTCCATATCTCAGCGAGGTATTCGAGTCTGTGGGCGAGCTGGAACCTGACCTTGTGAGCATACCTGATTCGACACATCAGGTCGGAGACTCCGAGGATGATGAGGATGACCCCGAGCCTGAGGATGATGTTGAGTTGGGCATGGAGGATCAGAGGCGAGGAGATGATGAAGAAGCAGAGTCTGACCTTGAACTCGATGACCCCGGCCGCGGTAATCCATCTCCCCAAACACACAGCCCCAGCATTCCGGAACCTAACGTTGATCCGAAAGCCCGTCAGGCTCCATCTCTTGAGGCCGCGAAGGCTGCACTTGCCGACCTCAAGGTCCTGCTACATCCACCTCGAAGTGGGTATGGCTACAAGGATGCGAAGCTCGATTGCGTCCTGCGCGAACGTCTTGAGGGCATGCACCGCCTTCTGTGCATCTATACGGATCCGACGCCCTCGGCGAACTTGCGTTGTGGCAACCGAGCAGGTCAGACCCATTGGATCTCGGCATCGCTTCAGGTCGCAAAGGGCGAGGGGTTGGGTCCGTGGCATGCCCGGTGTGTGCGACGCCGAGCGCAGGCATATGTTCGTGATCGCAACAGCCTACCGCACAACCTGTATGGGACATGGGCACGATGTCAGTTGGATGATGAAGACTTCCGTCAGGAGCTGTTCCTGCACCTCCAGGGGATTGGCGAGTATGTCAAAGCTGAAGACCTCGTACATTACCTGGATCGTCCGGATGTCAAGGAGCGGTGGAACACGAAGAAGACGATATCGCTTGCGACTGCGCAGCGATGGATGAAGCGGCTTGGTTATCGCTGGAAGGTGACGCCTAAGGGGCAGTACTCAGATGGGCACGAGCGAGACGATGTTGTTGCGTACCGACAAGGGACATTTCTGCCCAGATGGAAGGCGATGGAGCCACAGATGCGGGACTGGCGCCCTGATGGCGAGGAGGATAGGGGGCCCCTGCCTCAGAACCGCCGGACGGTGGTCTGGTTCCACGACGAGTCAACGTTCTACGCACATGATCGCCGAAAGAAGCGTTGGGTTCACAAATCTGAAAAGGCCAAACCTTATCAGAAAGGCGAGGGGGCATCCCTCATGGTCGCTGACTTTGTCTCGGCGGATTATGGTTGGCTGCGTGCACCCGATCACTCATCGGACAACCCGGAGGAGGCGCGAGTGTTTTTCAAGGCAGGTTCAGGGCGTGATGGATATTTCACGAATGAGGAAATCCAGGCCCAGGCGGAGAAGGCGATTGACATTGTCCAGAAGCACTATCCGCATGACCACCATGTGCTCGTCTTCGATAACGCACGCACCCACACCAAGCGAGCCGAGGACGCGCCATCTGCACGCAAGATGCCAAAGAACATTCCGAAGGAGGGGAAGAACTGGGGGGTGGAGGTCAGTGCCCGTGACGCAAATGGCAACATCATCTACGGCACCGATAGGAAGCCCACCAAGACTGTCGTGCAGATGGCACCGGGCTATTTTACACCAAAGGGTGGCACAAACATTGTCCCACAGTCTTTTTATTTTCCGGATGGACATGCACGTGCCGGAACTTTCAAGGGGATGGCGGTGATCCTTGAAGAGCGAGGCTACGGGAACATGTCAAAAAAGCACACAGAGTGCAAGAATTTCAAGTGCGCACCGGGGGCGACAAATTGCTGTTGCCGACGGATGCTCTTTGAGGAGACGGATTTTAAGACTGTGTCAAGCTTGCTCGAGTCGGCCTGCCAGGCACGCGGTGTTGAAGTCCTGTTCCTTCCAAAATTCCACTGCGAGCTCAATTTCATTGAGCAGTGCTGGGGTCATTCAAAACGAACTTACCGGTTGTTTCCCCCCTCGTCCAAGCAGGAGGATCTCCACAACAACGTGCTCAGTGCACTCGAATCGGTCCCATTGGAGACGATGCGACGGTGAGTAGGCTGTGTATGTGCGATCGTGATCAGAACCTGATCACTGCCGATGGGCCAGATATGCCACGCGCTCGCGCCGCTTCATGGATGCATATCATAAAGGCCTCAACGGCGCGCAAGCCGCATGGGCATCGAGGAAATACCATAGCCATCGTACCGTCCCCGACACGATCATGCAGGACCTCACTTCCGCTGCGTCTGCAGGGTCTATTTAATCAATGAGTAATGGAATTCGGATATCATACATTGACTACACATAACTCTACTGTACTGCAGCACACCATAGTGAATGTTTTATGACGAAAGTGCCCGAGAGTTCAAAGCAACTCGGCGGTGAGTGTGCGCAGTGCATGATTGGCCCTCGCCGGCGCTACGAGTGTCACTGGATAAGTCCTCGGGGATAACGCCGAGTCACAGCGCGTCACGGAGCCCATTCAGTGGAAAACCTCGCTGTTAACGGTACAGCCGGAGTGCATTTCGACCGTTGCAAACGGTAGGGCCGCCTCCGGCCGGAGTAGTCCGGGTCTACCGTTAGCAACAATGCACCGCTTGCAACAGGCCGGCCGGGCTTTTGGCCGGGGTAATGTACCTGTTGTAAACAGTCCGGCTGGATAGGCAACGGTCCGGCCGGACCCATACAACATCACTGCAAACAGGCCGGGTGGAGGGCAGGGTTAGCACATGCAACAGAGCGGCCGGCCGGTCCACGTTGCAAACAGAGCGGCCGGACTCAGGCCCCACCACTTCAAATGTTCCGGCCAGGATAAAATCCTTTCATTGCAAGCGGACCGGCCGGAGTGAAGTCTATCTGGTCCAGAATGGGTTGGCCAGCCTAAACAAACTGACTCCACGAACAGGCCGGCCGGGCAGGAGTTGTCCTGCTTCAAACGGTCCGGCCGGTCACAGCCCCCTGGGGGCTATTGAAATACTATATGTATTATGCACCTATGGGGTATACCATCATTAGTAGATCACAGCATAATTTTCCCATGACTTAGGGATGCCTAGTGAAGCTGCAAAACACAAAACAGCCCCACTGGCTGGCCAAATTAACTGGCCAGAGATTTCACTCACCCAGGTTTTTGCTTTACTGGCCATAAAATTAGCCAGGGTGTCCCTACAGGGCCAAATCAATAGGCCGGACATTTCAAAACATTGGCCGGGCATTTTAGTTCATTGGCCGAAGCTTTTAATTCACTGGCCGAAGCTTTTACTTCATTGGCCAAAGCTTTTACTTCATTGGCCGAAGCTTTTCGTCACCGGCCGAAGCTTTGGATTGACCGGCCGAAGCTTCTACTTCACCGGCCGGCGAAAACAGCCGGTGCTCGGCAAAAAATGGCCGGCCGGTGGGCAAAAATGGCCGGCCGGTGGGCAAAACCGGCCGGGCTGTTGAATTACTATATGTGGAAATGTGGTATTGTCTGGAAGCCCTTCATTCATAGAGTCTAGTATTGATTTCCTAGTGTCCAAAGGTACATAGTTAGGCCAGGATATGCGAGACAAGATTTACTCACAGGCTTCTTTGCAAAACATGTTATTCAACTGCTGAAGCCAATATTCTTTGCCCACACTGTTTGACTATCTAGAATGTGTTATCACAATGCATAGAGTAGATCCCCAAAAGGAATAGTCTTATTCTTTGAAGCTGAATGCAGGACAACAAATAAGGGGTAAGGTATAGTATACATGTCAAACAATGTTGACTTCCTGCAGCCAATCTACATTCCAAACACAGTTTCACAATCTAGAATGGTTCATTTACACACAAGGAGTGAGTCGTCCAAAGGAATAGTCTTATTCACATGAGCTGAATGTGGTACAGAGTTAAGGGGATCATGCACAGGCCGGACCATCTCCTATGAGGATTGGCCGGCCGGACCATTACCAACAGTGGGTAGATGTTTCTGTGCCATTCTTGATTGCCAAACCTTGTGGGCAAAGCATATTGGCTTCAGGATGTGAACACAGTATAACATGTATACCCATATACCCACCCTCACCTTAACTCTGTACTGCATTCAGCTTGTGTGAATAAGACTATTCCTTTGGAGGACTCACTCATTGTGAGGAAATGAATCATTCTAGATAGTCAAACACTATTTGGAAAGAATGTTGGCTGCAGGGAGTGAACATCATTATCCAACATGTATACCCCTTATCTCCTGTCCTGCATTCAGCTTCAAAGAATAAGACTATTCCTGTTGGGGATGTAGTCTGTGCATTGAAATAGCACATTCTAGATAGTCAAACATTGTGGGAAAAGAAAACTGGCCTCAGGAGTTGAATAGTATGTTCTCAGAGAAGCCTGTGAGCATTTTTTATTTTGTATTCTCTGACCTAACTAGGCATCTCTGTACACTAGGGAACATATACTGTACTCTGTGAATGAAGGGCTACCAGATGATACCAAATTTCCTTATATGGCAATCTGACGGCCCGGCCGTTTTTCACCGAGCTCGGTGGTTTAACCTCGGCCATTTCCGAGCTCAGTGCTTCAACAACAAACTTGGTCATTGAACACTCAGCTCGGCCCTTTAACTGGGCCCCTTAACACTGAGCTCAATGCTTTGATACTGACCTCGGCGGTTTTCACCGAGCTCGGCGCTCGAAACCTCGGCCCGAGCCTCGGCCATTTATCCTCGGCGCCGAGCCCGGCCAATTTTTCTCGGCCACCGAGCCTAGCTGTTTAACCTCGGTGGTTCAATACTGTGCTCAGTGGCTCACTATTGAGCTCGGTGGTTTGATACCGAGCTTGGTGGCTCATCTCTGGGCTCAGTGGTTAAATATTGAGCTTGGTTGTTACAACTAACAATTCTTGTTGTTATATTACTAGTGTATCAGGGGTCTGGCTGGGAGAAGCCTGGCCGGTTGGTTCATCTGGGGTCTGGCTGGATGGTTAGAAACTAGCCCGGCCGGACCATTTACAGCCCAGATTTTGCAAGGCTTCCGGCCGGCCTGTTCACATTGGAAGTTGGGATTTTGCCCGGCCGGACCGTTTCACCTGGGGGCCGGCCAGACGTCCGAAACCAACCCCTGGCCAGGCTGAATCATTGCTGAGTGCTCCGGCCGGACCGTTAGTGATGAGCCCGGCCGGACCGTTGAGAGCCCAAATTTTTGAGGCCTCCGGCCGGGACACTGATCAAAGGTCTGGCCGGAACATTGGGTATATGTCCGGCCGGACCGTAGGAAACGTAAATTTTTCGAGGCCTCCGGCCGGACCGTTGACCAGGGGTCCGGCCGGAACGTTGGATGACAGTCCGGCCGCACCATAGGAAACCCATATTTCTCAAGGCCTCCGGCCGGTACGTTCACCAGAGCTCCGGCCGGAACGTTACCCAACACTCCGGCCGGACCATTCCAAACCACCACCCTCCCTCCGGCCGGTTCGTTGCTGGCGGCGGCCACTCCAAACGGTAGACCCGGAGTGCTCCGGCCGAGCCCGGGTACACCGTTAGAAACGGGCCAAATGCACTCCGGGTGGACCGTTTGAAACGTGATTTCCCACTCATTAGGCTCACTTCGCTTAATCCCCCGCTTCGCTCGTCCATCTTCGTCCCTGCTTGCTCGCCCCATGTCCGCCTCGTCTGCTCCCGCACCCGCTCCCGCCTTCGCCAAGTCTCCCGAACCTGCCGGCGCCTCTGCGTCGGACGACGAGTACACTGTGGACGCGAAGACTGGCTTCCCCGTCCCTCACGACCCGAAGAGCCCCATGGCTCCGCTCGCCAACTGGGTCGTGGGGCATCTCGTGCCCGAAAATCCGGATGCAATCGAGGAATGGATTGAGGGCGCATACGCGGCTGTCGTAAGTTCGGGATCCGCCTCGTTTTGTTCGCGCTGACTTAGAGTGTTCGAAGAACCGTTTCACTCGCGTGACGAAAGGCGCGTCCCTTTCACAGCGCTACGCGACGGCCCTTGGCCGTCTCCTCGTCCTTGCCACCGACGTCAACCCGGAGGCCGCGCGCCAATGCGCCGACAACATGGATTGGCCGCTCCTTGAGGCCGCCATCAAGCACGCCGCGCTCGAACACGAGAAGCGCGCGCTCTGGGAGACCGAGCAGGCCCGCCTCCGTCTCGAGACCGAGGAGCGCGAACGTCGCGAGGCCGCCGAGGCCGAGGAACTCGAACGCCGTGAGGCCGCCGAGCTTGAGGAGGCCGCCGAGGCCCACAAACGCGAGGCTGCTCATCAGCTTC